GGATTCCTCCGGAAATTCAAGAGAGTAGGTCAAGTTATCTGGTTCCTTGGTGTCAGTTGACATCGTCTCTGTACTATTTTTGAGTTTTCTAAATATATATTTGTTTGCCCTTGGAAAAAAAAAAAACGAAAAAAAAAATCAGATGATCAATGACCCAAGATGAGTGAAATAACGAGTGAGAAATCGAATTTGTGAATTTGGTGTAAAACAGATTTATAATTTTGTTCGGTCTTAATATGCATATTAAGTTGAGTTGTAAGGGTCTTCCAACAAAATGATTAATGTAAAGATAAAACATAAGTTTGTCTAAAGAATCAATAAGACATCTTCCAAAGATAAGAGACAAACAATGATTTAACAAAAAAAAAATAAAATTAAAAAAGATACTTTTAATGTGAACTAATACAGATTACAAATATACAATAACAACATACTCAGTATATTCCAACTGGTTGGAGTATGGGGATCAGTTGTACGCAGATTGTTTCCGTAGCGACCCAAGGTGCATTGCATCATCGTTTGATATATTTTTTTTTTCACTTGTACAGATTACAAATATACAATTTGAAAAAACACACACAATACAGCAAAATTACATCTACTTTTTACAGTAACACCTATATATGCTATGCCGTTTTCTTTCCAAGCAATGCTACAATTTACATAATCTTTTGTACATGACTGTGTACATACTCTCGAGATATGTACACATTTGCGAACAAATTTTTATATACGAACCGAGTTACTCTTTCCGAAGAACTGTATAAAATGTAATCAATTCATCTAAAACACTCTTTCTCCAGTAGCATAAAGATTCCAAAAGATAGTTGTTGCAAAATAAAGACAAGCTGTAAGTGTTAAGAATGCCTGAAATGAACCTAGCCACTGCACGAAAAACCCAGTCCCGATTGTACTTATTATTGCCGCTAGCGTTCCAATTGAATTAGAAATACCTGAAAAATGAAAAGAAAAAAAAATCATGGGTAAAAACGTATTTGAGGGGCAACACTCAACAAAACTTCAACATCCAACGGAAAATCATACGACAATATATTCCAATAGGAAATTTCAATGAGTATTTCAACTTTCAATGGTATAGATTTTGTTGGAATGATTCAAGCAGAAATTTCAACGAAAATATTCAAAATTGAAATGATTTAATTAGAATTTCAGATCGAATTTGATGATTCCAACGAATTTTTTTTTTTCTTTTTTTTTTTACGGTAGGAATTTGTGTTGAAAAATACAATTTCTGTAGGAGTTTTATTTCCACTCATCGTTAAAATCCAACATAAGTTCCAATAGCAAGCTCATTCCAACAGAATATTTTTGTTCGAATTTCTGGTTCAATCCGTAAATAATAGGATTGGAATATCATCGTAATTGCCGTTGTAATTCGATTGGAAATATTTTTCCGTTGGAATTTCATCAATTTTATTGTAGTCCAAGAAATGAAAAACGAAGAATTTACCGTGAAGAAATCCTGCGTATTGTGGCGCAATATCCTGACGAGATGACCCAAAACAATCAAAAGTTAGTTCAACTATTTTTTTATTTTTTTCGGTTTAATTGAAACCGATTCATAAGAACAAATTTATATACTCAAAATGTGGAGAAACTTACGTGCATGTTAAGTAGAAATCCTGCTTGACTAAACGAGCTCAAGCTCAAGGCTAGAGTTAAAAAAATGGATGCTACAGTTGGCTTGCTTACATAATTCAAACAAAGCAAAGAAACTCCCGGCCCGATAAAACCTATCGACTGTCACGAGTAGTTCAATTAAACATATTATTTGTTAGTATACACTTTTTGCCTGTTTACTGTTATATATATCCAAACCGATTCTAAATTTTCATTTAATTCTTAAAATAGTAACATTCGTTTGTATACCTGCATGATTTTCCTTGCTGATGTAATCGAAAAACCCGATTTAATCAAGTAGTCTGATGTGGACCCCGCAATGTAGCCCGAGATTGCCATTGTTCCCCACGGGACAGCACTAAACCAAGCTGCTTGCTTCAAGTTCACATCAAACACCTAAAAACAAACCAGTACGAATTTATTAGCAAAACTTACGATTCTGAACTAGCCAATAAGCAAAAAAAAAAAATGAAATGATATGTGTGTTAAAAAATGATAAACTCACAGTTTTAAAATAAACCGGCATCCATGATAGAAGAACAAAATAACCCTGCATTTTAAAAGTGATATAGTAAATTGCAGTGTGTTAAACTGTTAATTTTAGAAACAAAGAAAGCGAGAAAGAGAAAACCGACCCAATTATTAGTGAAGTTAGCAAAGAATATAGCCCAAGTTGGCAATTTCGACAAAAGGTGCCCGAGTGGTGGAAAATTGCACTTTTTCGCCACACAAGCATCAGATTTGCCAGCTTGGATTAATCGTAACTCGGATTTAGATACAAAAGTGCTCTCGTGAGGGTCATTGGTGACCCTTTGTGTCCACGTAATCAGCCAAAGAAGTCCGAGAGATGTAAAGAGAATAAACGGACCGGAAATACCGATTGATGACATCATCAATGGAGTCAAAACCAAACCCACCAAGTTCCCGAGCTGAAATCCTCCCATAGATATCCCTACAGCTGTCGCTCTTTCAGTGGTCGGAAACCATCTATACACGGAAAAAAAAAAGTAGTAGTTGAGAATAGTAGGCACTATAAGACAGCAAATCAGAAATCCAAAACAACGTTCTCTATATACGAACTTTCGCCAGAGAATGCATTTTTAGTCCTATTGGTTTAACCATAGCAATTTCAATCCCAAGATTCCAACTTTTCGCCTTTTGGTCATGTGATTTAAATGCTTTGCTGCAATTCCAGTCCTCAAATTACAACAAATTATAAAATTATAAGACTTAAATTGCTAATTGAAATTTTGAGATTTTGGAATTTGTTGCAATTTATGTCCTCCAAAAGAACTTACTCCAAAAGAACTTAAATGAACTGCAATTACAGTAAAATATTAAATCACATGACGAAAAAGCGAAATGTTGGAACATTGTGATTAAAATTGCTATGACGTTAAACTAGCAGAATAAAAATGCAAATTTGCCTCAAAAAATTAAGAGAATACTTTTTATTTTTCCTTGAGCTAAAACTCGATAATCACGTTTTTTTTTTTTTT